TAAAAAATGATATTTAACGTAAAGTAGTGTTATGCATATTTACGATCAAGCTCATCTACCACGTTTTCCTCCTTAATCAATTTTTTAATCAGAGTACCCACTTTACAGAGGCTGGATGGATCTCAGATTAATCTTCTGATCCCAGAGTCCATCCAAGGTTAATCTAACAGAATAAATACTGAACTTCCCCGTTCTTTAAAATATTAATTTTATTTTCTTTATTGGATTTTGACAACTTGGCTTCCTTAAAATTTTATTTATTATCTGCTTCAAAATTGAGATACTCATTCACCCATCTCTAGAAGAAGGTCACGATGGTCAATAGGAAAGTGATAACGCCTATATAATAAAGTTGACGGTGTTGATGCGGCAGCGGAAATAAGGCTTTAGAAATCAACCAGAAAAGGTGACGTCGCTCTCAAAATGCTAAAATAAATGTGGAAGAGGGAAAGAAATTGTACTGCAACTTCTTTTTTTTTTTTTTTTTTTTTTTTTTATTTATTTAGACATATAATATTCTGTCACAGGGGCAATAATTATATTGATAAATGAACACATTCACACCGTATATAAAAAAAAAAAAATTAACAAAAGTAAAATAATAACTAAATAATAATAAACAAAAACTATATACAATAAAAAAAAATAACCCAAATACAAATAAATTAAAAACAGTCACATCTATATACAATATATACAATCAGGTCATATACAATTAGTTTTAGTTGATCTATATACAATAGATACATTCATGTCTTGAGTGGAGAATCTGGCCATTGCCAGAGCTCCAAAATAAATACTATAAAAGATCTGTAGGCCACTGCCGCTTCAACCTTCGAGGAGGGTTGTAGGGATGAGTGGAACTAGATAGGGATTGGGCTAGGGGATTTGGATGATTGATAAGGTTCTGATGGAATTTTGAAAAATTTTCTGGGATAAGGTCAAGGACAAATGGGATATTAAGGTCATGATGTAGGGTTTTGTTGGTTACATAGAACGGAGCATCGACTATTGTTCGGAGGACTTTGGATTGAAAGGATTGGATGCGTTTGATGTTAGAGAATTTTGCTGTACCCCAAAGTTCATGTCCGTAGGTTCAAATAGGTTTCAGGATTGTCTTGTAGATCAGTAATTTGTTGTCAATTGAAAGTGGAGATTTTCTGGCCAGTAGTCTGTATAATTGGCCGTACCGTCGGTTAAGTTCTTGTCTTTTAAGTCTAGTATGTGGGTTCCACGTTAGTCTTCGGTCTAAGATAAAGCAAAGATACCGGACTGTGTCTGAAAAAGGAAGCTGGATGGAATTAAAGTGGACTGATGGACAGGATCTGCGGCGGAGTGTGAAGGTAATGTGTTTGTATTTGGATTCGTTTACTTTGATTCGCCATTTATTACACCAGTGTTCAATCATGGAGAGGTGCCTTTGCAGATTTAAAGATGCTATTTCTGGATCCGAGTTGGATGATAGGATGGCGGTGTCATCAGAAAATTTTGCCAGGAAGGTATTGGAATGGACAGGAATATCGGCGGTAAAAAGGATATAAAGGACGGGGCCCAAGACGCTACCTTGAGAAACACCGGCTTCAACTGGGTAGGATTGCAACTTCTAAAATTAGTGTGTAAAAAAAAAATATATCAAGTATGGATTTTACTTTAAAGACATATTTATCACTTATTTGAAGACAATACTTGACTTCTTGTATATTTATGGCATAATTACTATTTCTTTTCTCATCTTCATTTCTTTCTCAAAGCAAATATTTGACCAATTTATTTTTTTTTATTCCACTTTAAAAAACGCTGCAAATTATTTCACAATGATTTGTTATTTCCAAAGAATTATACATCTAAAGTACGATTACCTTCCTAGTTACAAAGAAATAAAAGTTGATTCCAATTATTGGACTTCTTTTAGCATATTAGCAATATGCTAAAAAAAATTAGCATTACTTAAGTGACGTATTCAAAAATCAAAACAAATTATATAACCTTTGCAGTAGAACATATAAAAAACATCTAGAGACCCTTTCCTCCTAATTGTCCGATTTAAACGATTTTTTTTTAGTAAATTCCGTAAACTTTTAAATAACCATTTATATTCTTCTGCTTCTTTTCGTTTAATTATGATATATAGATATATTTAAAGGGCGTAGAGAAGAAGACTTTAGCGAAGTTTCATTGAAATCGGTACATTCGTTTAGGAGCTATAGTCGATAGCAACGCAGGTTTTTTGGTCGCCATCTTCAATGGAAAAGTTGGATAGAAATGTTGATGAAGGAGGATCATCCTCGGATGACCTCTAATTTTAAATCCAAATTTGAAAAATATCGGTCCCGTAGTTTCGGTGAAAATGTGGGAAAGGACAAAAATATGTTTATTCATTTTTCGAATTCTACGTATTCTGAAACGTAAAACCTCAAATTTTGTGAGGGGTTAAGTTTTTGAATTTCTTGTTTGAACATAATGTTTCATTATTGAAAATAAGAAACAAAACAAAAATTATAAAATAAAAGATTTTATTATACGGTCTAATTTTTATTTGAACCTTTACGAGATTTTATATGTATCTATATATTATTTTATTTCATAATTAAAGTTATGTAAATAAATTATTTAGAACTGATGCGGAATGTACTCCTGTTCAATGCGTTTTTAAAGTAAAATTTATACTAACAAAAAAATTATTTATTGAATAAAACTACAGAGTAAATCCAACACATTTTAGATATAAAATAAAGCACTGGGGGATAATGACACAAGAACTATATGGGTTAATGAACTATTTATATTATTTGAAGAGCTAAAATACCTTGAAAAATCAAAAAATGTTTTAGCTTAAACTTTCTAAAATAAATCGGAACCAGGTAAGCCACCATCAGGGTCCACTGATGTAATTACATGGCCTCGATTACCTTAATCATTCCTTAATAAAATTATCTCCTCCCTCATTTTCGGAACCTCTTTTTCAGCTATTCCAAAACTTGTAGCAAGTTAAATTTGTAGCAAGTCTCGTTAACCATTCTCCGTGTACATAGGAAAAAAATCTCAATATTTGAATGAAAATATTTTTAATAAGTTATAATATGAAAAATACAAACCACAGAGCGTTGAGTGTCTAACATATAGGATAAAAGTTAACAACTTACGATATCGGCAGTTTATCAGTATGTATTTTGATGGTTTGGTGAGATGTCGCTCGTAAATATATATTATATTTTGCTTCCTCACTATCGAAGGTAGGGAAGCTTTGTATTCGTGCGAGATTGATAAATAAATGATCAAGTAGGAATCAAATTTTATCTTATACTTTCAAAAATACTTCTTCTTTCGGAACTGCAAACGTCTGGTTTTTGGTACGCCAATAGTTTGAAAACGGCTCAAAGGCTTTTTTTTTATTTTTTTTTAATCGTGCATATATTTGATCTTGTTTTTTCTATCCTTATGACGCCTGAATGGACGAAACGTAAGCAGGTTAACTATTCACCTGTATGTTAGAGATTCGAGGATCTATAATTTAGGTTTTTCTGTTTATGTCCTAATTACTTTATGTTTATTTTTTAGATATATGTTAATTTATCGTAATATCACTTGTGAAGTAGCCGTGTATCTACCAGGTTTTGTTGAGAATGGATGTTATATACTCGTTGGAACATTTTGTTTTGTATTTACTAATTTATTTTTCTTTTCTTATTTAAATAACTCTTTTTTATTATTGTTATTATTTTATTTCTATTTATTATTTTATTTCTATTTTTTTTTTCTATTTTTTATTCTCGCTTGGTGGGTGAGTTTTTGAGGTGGGAGACCAAAAGCACAGCCACCTTCATATTAATATTTATTATTTTTTTAGATGTTTAAAAATTGTATAACAATACGTGCTGTGTCTAAGAGAACTGAGTGTTGAGCCTCTTTCAGCACTTATTTTATTTATATTATTTACACCCTACCCTGCCGATAAGGCAATACGGGTGTTATGCAGTAGTGAGTAGCAATTCATGTGTTACAATTCACTGCTGCATTCAGACCAATTACATTTTTTTACAGCTGTGCACACAACCTGCTCTTTTTTTCTTTTTAGCCAGCATCCTGTTCCACCCTCTCTGGCGGTCTTCCGTATGCAGGTTCATTTCTTCTTCCCAATGAAAAGTGGTTTGACCCAACCTGTTCCTTCCACCCGTATACGAATGCCTTGTAATACGGGTATTTTTCCTTTGTCATAAGTTGAGGGAGATCGCTCTCCGTCAGAGCGTAGAGCCCCTTCTCCCTCAACAACTTAGCCCTCAGTGTCTCAAAGGCGGTATAGACCAGGATGATATGCTCGGCGGTCTCCGGCACTCTGCAACTTGGGCATAGGGGATCGATGTTCCCGCCATATTCAACGAGCTTTGCTCGGAAACCCCCATGCCCTGTGAGGAACTGTGAGACCCAGTAGTCCGGGAGAACCCATGTCTGTTCCATTCTTGAACCAACGGTGGGGAAATATTTTCTTAGCGTAGCCCCTTTTGGCGATGTCACCCACCGCTGGTTCCATTCCTTTAATGTGTTCTCCCGAAGAATGCTCTTCCATCTATTAGGGTCTTCAATGATCCTCACACGAAGATTCACCGGTAGATCCACCAGGCCTGCCTCTTTCAGGACTTCAAGAGGTGATTTTAAACCCATCGTGCCTGCCACTGTTGACTTTGGTATCAGGAGGATATTATAATTGGAGTCGTGGTGACGCTCCCAAAATGATATAATCCCTTCAATTCGAATGCCAGTTCCTGGTATTTTCTCCAACAGTGGAGCTTATATTAGTATCATTGGATATGGGAGGATCCCGACATCAATAAGAACTGCTTTTTTCTCTCTCATATCTATCAGGAGGATATCTGGTTTATTATGAGGCACAGTATGGTCAGTTATAATCGATTCATCCCAGTAGAGTTTGAGACTATCTTTTTGAAGGAGTTTATTTAGATGGTATTTATAATATGGAATTTTGTCATCTAATAAGTTGAGTTTCACCGCCAGAACCTGGTGAAAATTTTGGCCACATTGTTATGCCTCTGGAGATACTCGATGACAGCTAACACCTGTGATATGTTGGATTGATTCCAGCGTCGCTGAGCATAATCGACATTTATCCGTAGTTGTGTCTTTTAGAACATGCCTTCTATATGATCTAGTAGCAATAACTTGGTCTTGGATGGCGAATAGAAATCCTTCTGTCTCGGGGAATATCTCTCCAGCTTTCTGCCATTCAATGGATATTTCCTTATTATTATTATTATTAATATTATTATATTTTAGGTATGCTTGTATTTTCGTTTTTATTCCATCGAATCAGTTATTTAATATAACCTTCCTTTAATGTTTTTATGCAACTTTCCGTTTCCTTGAATATGTATTTGGATGGATTAGTGAGACGTCGGTTGTATTTTTTTCTCTTTCTTTCTATATTGGTGAAAGGTTAGTAGGTTAATTGTTCACTTATCTATTATTTTATTACCATGTCCCCTTGCCTCTCGGCATTACAGATTTTTGGAAGAAGCAGCATAATACTTCTGCCACTTGCTCTCTTTCTTCGTTCTTCCCTCATAATGATTAGTGGTGGTTGAAATGATTAAATCTTCACCTGTATGTCACATACTCAAGGCTGTGCAATTTTTTTTTTTTTTTTTTTTTTTTTTTTTTTTTTTTTTTTTTTTTTTTTTTTTTTATTTATTGAATAATAATACAATCAGCCACTGCTGGAGGGCTGTAAGTATTAGGGCTACAAGTTCTCATTCATACAATATATACAAATAATAAAGAAATAAATATAAATATAATAAGTAAATAAATAATACTGGTGAAGAAGTTAAATAAAAATAAAATAAACAAATAAAATAAAATAAAAACTTCTAAACACAATCATATCTATATACAATATATACATTCGCCCAAGAATCTCCGAGCCAGGCTTTTTCCCCCACACGTGGAAGGCGAAGCAAGACTCCGGAAGATCCCAGCGCCACTTTTCCAGCCGCATCACTAGTATTAGAAGCCAATGGAGACTGAAAGATGGCACTAGAGCCACAGGCGCTCAGGACATGAGTGGAGAAGCTGGCCATTGCCAGGACTCCAAAGGCATATTTACAAAAGATCTCGAGGCCACTGCCGTTTCAACCTTCGAGGGGGATGGTATGGATGTTCGGAGCTGGATAGGGATTGCGCTAGATGATTGGGATGATGAATGAGGTTCTGGTGAAAGTTGGAGAATCTGGATGGGATGATGTCATGGACATATGGGATGTTAAGGTCATGGTGTAGGGTCTTGTTCGTGACATAATATGGAGCATTGACTATTGTTCGAAGGACTTTGGACTGGAAGTATTGGATACGTTTGATATTCGTGCTTTGCAATTTAGATTTTTCCTTTCATATCCTAACTACATTATGCCAATTTTTGAGCTATATGTCCGTTTATCGTAATATTAATGGTAGGATAAATAATTCTAAAAAACTGTCAGAAGAATCCATACATCACATCAACTTTCCTAATAAGTTTTTAAATAATTTTAATTCTTTCAGCGGTACATCGTCAATAGGTTCTAATTTTCTAAAACACGGAAAATGTTTTCCTGATAACCTGGACTATTAAATGTGACAAAATGAGCATCCCATGTTCGAAAATCTAACTGGGGATATCCTGGAACAAACTTTTGAATTGTTGGCCTCTGTGTAGGAACTTTCCACTTACCACAGGACTGGCGACTGCTCCCAAAACATAGCTCACCCGGTGTTGTCCAGTGCTGGCTGCTAGCTGCTCTAGTGGCCACATCATGTCCACACCAACATCAGCTGAATTAATGTCTTTTTGTCGAGGTCGAGTTGGTGGCGTTGCAGTTTTAAACAGTTTATTACTCCTCCGCATTTTTAATGTAGCATGCTCATGATGACTTGAAGTGTTGTTTTGAAAACAACTGTTTTGATCGTGAAAAATTATTGACTGTTGATACTTAAATTGCAGTCATGGAAGTACACATTTGATTTTTTTTTCTGTACTTCTATAACTGCAATCCAGAGCTTGAAACCGAAAAAACTTTTATTTTTAAACAATTTTGGTATCACTGGCATTTTTAGTGTCGATAACTTTTCAGTTCTTTTGGAACTAGACCTTTTTCCTCTGCAACTCTTCAAGTAATGGTTTTACAAAACTTTTATTTAAAAATTCTGTTCACTTCGCTAGAAAAAGTCGACCTAATTATTTTTATTCTTAACTACTCACACAAACACATTAGAATCACGGGTAGTTCATTTAAGACAAATTACTACTCTAATATATATATGGAGTTCTGCGCATGCGTTAACCTTACACATATACTCTTTATTTCGTCTCTTATTAAGTGACTTTATTAACAGTGAAATAATTCATGTTATATGTGAAAAAGTAGTGTAAACTGTTAAGTTAACAATTAAGTTGAAACTGGACATAAACAAGGTGAGTAATCACTTATTTATAACGGCATTGTGAACAGTGTAAATAGACCTGAGGATAGTGATAGATAACAAGCCGGCCATATACATTCGTTAATCCGACCAGTGGGCTGCTGCCCTTTGGCGGAAGCAGGTCTACGTTACTTAGACTTCTACAAACTCGCGTAATATATACGTAATTGATAAAGGACATTTTTTGTTTTCAAATTATTACAGTTACCTCTAATTAAATTAATATGAGATGCGCTATTTTCATATGGTAATGTCGAGTAAAGATAACAATCGAACTTTAAGATCTAGGAGTCTCGATACCACAAAGAGTTCACCCATCAAGAAAAGGGCTAGACGCTCTAAAAAAAATACCCCGCCAGCTACACCAGAGAGCTCAGTTGACGAAGTTGAAAATCAACCTGGCACATCATCACAAAATATGTCAACACAAGTTATACCAATACAAGGTACGCTAGAAGAATCGCCTTTTTTTACAGCTAATCCATTCCAAGTGCTGTCAAACACACAGAATGAACAAATGGAAGCAGTACCCATCCCTAGTGAACCTAAACCTCCACCAATATTCGTTAGAAATATAAAAAATTTCCAATTAATGTGTCAACAATTAAATAATATAGTGGGCTCAGGTAAATACGTATGCCAAAGCCGCACTAATGAAACGAAATTAATGCCTGACACCCCAGATACGTACAGAAAAATTGTCAAGTATTTATCTGACACTAAGGCGGATTATCACACATATCAGCTGCGCCAAGAGAGAGCGCTCAGGGTGGTGATCAGGAGATTACACCCATCAACACCACTGGATGCCATTAAAGAAGAACTAACTGAGATGGGGGTTCCGTGTTCGACAAATAGTGAATATATTCAAGGAAGATAGAGAACAGCCTGGTACAAAAAATAAAATACCGCTCCCACTATTCTTCGTTGACCTTGACCGAACGCCCCAGGTCGAAGAAATCTACAAGGTCACACGCCTTTATTACACTAGCGTTGTTGTAGAAAAGCCCTACACTAAGCGCGACATTGTACAATGCCATAACTGCCAGGCTTATGGTCATACGAAACGCTATTGCCACCACATTCCTAGATGTGTCAGGTGCGGTGATCAACATAAAACTGAGGACTGCCAGAAGTCCAGAAGAACACCAGCAGTATGTGCTTTATGCCACCAAGGGCACCCAGCGAACTACAAGGGTTGCCAAACATATAAGGAACTGAAAGCAAGAATTTATGCAGCTCCAAGAGAAGAACGGCCATCCAGGCCACCAAGACAACCCTCTAGAACTGTAAATACAAGAGTGTCCTATGCTCAGATGTTCAAAGGAGACACTGCACCCACACAAACTCAGGCCCTGCCACAAGAACCTCAACCTCGAGTATTCACATCTCAACCACAAGACCCTTATCCCATCTCTGAACCTAGGCCTAATAACCAGACATTCATTCCTCCTCCTCCCAATGCCACTGACCTCACAAGCCTATTGACTTCTTTCCTCTCTGAATTCAGGTCACTCATCACTCCTCTCATTACCTTGCTTACCAATGTTGTATCCAACCTCATCCCACTGTCGAGAAATCCTTAAATGTCCCCAATCAAATCCCTCTCCGTTCTCCTTTGGAATGCGAATGGCATTCGAAATCACGTCAACGAACTAACAATCTTATTACAGGACAAAAACATTGATATAGCATTAATAACTGAAACTCGACTTACCAACAAACGACCACTTAACATCCCCAACTATCATATCTATCGAACCGACCATCCTGATGGAACAGCACATGCTGGCACTGCCATAATTATCCATCAATCCCTTTCCCATCATCTATTCCCTTTGCTAACCCATAATTTCCTACAATCCACTGCCGTGATAATCCAAACTTCCCTTTACCCAATAGCAGTAGTCGCAGCATACTCCCCGCCTAAAATACCCATCTCAGAATCCCAATTAACTTCCTTCCTTAACTCCTTAGGACACCACTTCCTTCTAGGTGCAGACTTAAATGCTAAACACCAGCAATGGGGAGCCAGAACCACAAATTCCCGAGGACGAACATTGCTATCTGCACTTAATTCCCATCACAGCAACATCCTCTCACCCAATTCTCCCACATACTGGCCAACAGATCCTAACCGCAATCCCGATCTCCTAGATTTTTTCATCCACAAAGGTCTAGGGTCCCTTCATTATTGCATCTCAAGACTTGATGATCTTTCCTCAGACCATAGTCCCCTAATCCTAACGGTCTCCACATCACCAATTCCCAAACCACCTCCACCATCATTTATCAGGGGGCCAGTTAATTGGAACCTCTTCCGTCAAATACTGGATGATAATATTGACCTCAGAGTTTCCTTAAAAACACCCGCAGACCTAGATGAAGCAGTATATTCCATGACTACCTTGATCCAACAAGCAGTTTGGACTGCATCTTCACCTTATCCTTCTAAAAAATACCGCAAAATAAATCCTCTACCCCAAGACCTACTGGACCTTATTAATAGAAAACGATGCTCTAGGGTCATCTGGCAAAGAACCAGGCATCCTGATGATCGGAAATCATATAACTATTATTCCAAGCAGGTAAAACAAAAACTGGCTACGTTTAGATCACAATCCTATAATTCCTATCTTTCCTCACTATCTGCAAGTGATAACTCCCTCTGGAATGTAACTAAAAAAATCCTTAAATTCCAATCCATTTCCCACCCCCTCCGTCGTGATGATGGTTCCTGGGCTTCGTCAGATGAGAATAGAGCAGATGAGTTTGCTAAACATCTATCGTACACATTCACTCCTCATCCTGAACTCCATCTCTCCCATACTGCTGAAGTTAAAGAATTCCTCTCTTCACCGATTCCTCTCTCCTTACCTCCTACAGCCGCCAACCCCTCTGAGGTCAAATTCCTTTTAAAGAACCTAAAACCTCGCAAATCTCCAGGACACGATCTCCTTACTTCCCAGATCCTCAGACAACTTCCCAAAAAAGCAATTATATTCCTTACATACCTATTCAACTGTATCCTCCGCACAACCCACTTTCCTCTGGTGTGGAAACACTCCATAATTATGCTCTTTCCTAAACCAGGTAAACCTGTTAATTTTACATCATCCTATAGACCGATAAGCTTACTTCCGATCCTTTCCAAAATCTTTGAGAAAATTCTTCTCAAACGCATCCTACCCATACTCGAATCCCACAATATCCCTTCCCATCAGTTTGGATTCCGCTCAAGACACTCCACTGTCCAACAAGGCCTTCGCGTTGTGGACCACATATCCTCTGCACTTGAAAACAAGCAATATTGCACTGGTGCCTTTCTGGACGTAGCTCAAGCTTTCGACCGGGTGTGGCACGATGGCTTGCTTTTCAAGCTCAAAACCCATTTACCTCAAGCCTTGTATCTAGTCCTCAAATCCTACCTTTCAAATCGCTCCTTTCAAGTCCGCTGCGGCACTGAACTCTCCAAACATTATCCAATTGAGGCTGGTGTCCCACAAGGCAGTGTCTTGGGCCCAATTCTCTACATCCTTTTTACCGCTGACATCCCTTCAAGTCCTGATACCTTCCTAGCAACATTTGCTGATGATACTGCTATCCTATCCTCCCACTCGGATCCTCTAATTGCGTCCCGGAACCTGCAAAGACACCTCTCCTTCATTGAGCAGTATTGCAACAACTGGCGCATCAAAATTAATGAATCAAAATGTAAACATGTAACTTTTACTCTTCGACGCAGATCCTGTCCGCCAATCCTTTTTAATTCAATTCCTCTTCCCTACTCAGACACAGTCCGATACCTTGGCTTCCTTCTGGACAAAAGACTGACTTGGAACCCACATACGAGACTTAAAAGACAAGAGCTTAACCGACGATTTGGTCAGCTATATAGACTACTAAACAGAACATCTCATCTCTCAACAGAAAACAAATTATTAATCTACAAGACCATACTGAAACCTATCTGGACCTACGGACTTGAGCTGTGGGGGACAACTAAATCATCGAATATCAAACGCATCCAATCCTTCCAGTCTAAAGTCCTTCGAACAATAGTCAATGCTCCGTATTATGTCACGAACAAGACCCTACACCATGACCTTAACATCCCATATGTCCATGACATCATCCCATCCAGATTCTCCAACTTTCACCAGAACCTCATACATCATCCCAATCCTCTAGCCCAATCCCTATCCAGCTCCGAGCATCCATACCATCCCCCTCGAAGGTTGAAACGGCAGTGGCCTCGAGATCTTTTGTAAATATGCCTTTGGAGTCCTGGCAATGGCCAGCTTCTCCACTCATGTCCTGAGCGTCTGTGGCTCT